AGAGAGACAGAGAGGGAGGGAGGGAGGGAGGGAAGGAGAGAGAGATAGAGATAGAGAGAGAGAGAGAGAGAAAACTAAGTGACTAAGTGGGTATAAAGGGTCAAGAGTCCAGTGGCTAGTTCTCAGGAAAATTTAATAAAATTACAGTTCTTGGCAAGAGGGATGCAGAGTTGAAGGCCATCATAACCACACCTGCCAGCAGACAGTCGAATTTCATAATCAACCTCTGCCAGGAAGAAAGGGGATGACGAGGCAGGAAACCCATAGCTTGGGGGAACGCATACACTGGGAAGCTGTGCTGCTGGGGTCCCGCACTGGCAGCCATCTCATGAGGTCTTCCTCCTCCTGGAAGCTACAAGTTGGCATCCATGACTGCCTGTTCCTCCATCCACACTCCCATCTCTTCCTGGGACATCCCTGTTCTTCCTGTGGTGTATCCTCGAAGCCATGGCAAGGCTCCCTGAGCAGGAAGCATCTGCCCCATGCCCATAGCCTTCCTGGGCCCCCAGCTTGCCAGCCCTGCAGTTGTTCTCTTGCCAGCAGTTTCAGAAGAAGCAGGCAGGACTGGGACCTGGGGACCAGAACACAGTGTCCACAAAGGCCTTGGTGATGCAGAGTGGAGGGGGAGGGTGCCAGAGTCACTCTTGGCAGGTCTGCTGTCCCTAGCTCCTCGCCCTTGGGCTGGCTGCCACCCACACTCTCCCTTGCAGAGCTCTGGCCTGGTACTTGTCCTCCCTCATGTCCCCAGAGTTCCACTGCCCACCCCCTCTGTGCCCACAGGAGAGGCCTGGCTCAGGGAAGGAGGCAGCAGAGGAGACATTGTGTTGGCTCTCACGCTGTGCTCGAGAGGGGCTGGAGCTGGAGATGGGCAGCTGCCAGGCATGAGGTGAAAGTGCCACTAAGACTGGGGTGGGGTGGAGGGAGCTGTCACTTCCTGCTCTGTGCTGTACAGTGATAACGGAAGCCCAGGCTGGGGAGTGGTAGAGAGAGGTGGCCAGCAGCACAGGGCTCTGGTGGACCGGGCTACGGGTAATCCTGTGCCAGAAGTCAAGAGCTGCTCCCACCACTGCCCTGAACTATGTTAACCAGTCTGATGCTCACACAAAGGCCAGCCATGCTGTGGAAGGTGGCACTGCTTGTGGGGTTCCTTGTGCTGGTGACCCCTGTCCGCCGTGACCAGTTTGTGGATATCGACAAGAAGTTGAAGGCTTTTGCCATGTCTGTGGAGCATGTGGTGTTTCAGTTCAATGAGGCCCAGGAGGACCCATTTGCTTACAAGTTCCTGCGGGTCAGGCGGAGCCAGGGCCAGGTGAGAAGACCAGGTCCTTTGTTGGGCCACTTTTGCCCTGGGATTGGCTGGGGCAGAATTGAGTTTTGAGTTTGGCAAATGTTTAAAATGACAACCAAAGTCTCATGAGAGGAGCTAAGGTTCTGCTTTGATTTTTCACAAGCACAGCCTGAGAGGCAGGGCAGGGGGAAGGGAAGCAGAAGGAAGCAAGGGAGGGCATCAGTGCCCAGGGGCTGGCAGAAGGGAAGGGCAGAGGAAGCTGGTAGGAAAGGAGCACAGAGACATGGGTGCTCTCAGACAGTGCCTGCACAGAATGGGGGGCTCATCACCCTGTGGGACAATGGCTGGCAGGCCTGGGGTATGAGGGGCTGGACTCCAGGGGCAGGAGCATCTTTGCTAAGAAGTCAGCAGTAGCACAGACAGGAGCCTCACCTCACCAGGCAGACAGAAGCCAAGCAGACCCATCCCCAGACGAGACAGCATTGAGAAAGGGAGACAGCAGGGCACAGGGGCACAAACAGGAGGTGGCTGTAAGCAAGAGCTGTTTTGGTGTGGTCAGGGAAGTCCCTTCTCTGCCTGGCAGGCCTGGAAAAGCCCAGCCATGGGAGAGTTGGGAACAGCAGCAGCCAGTAGCAGACCCCTGTGAGCTGGCCCTGTAATGTGTTCAGGGAACGGCAGCAAGAAGGAAGGAGGTGGCACTGGGGGTGAGGGGGAGGCTGATCTCTGTGTGCAAGGACCCCACTGAATGAGGTCCTTAAATGGGCAACATGCCACTCGCTGGACGTTGCTCTCTGTAGCAGCCCATGCTGCCCAGGCAGGACAAGAGAAGGTGGGCTGCTGCTATGGTCATGAGGCATGATGGATTCAAGGAGGGAGCTGGGAGCTTGCGCTGAGCATAGCAGTGGGTGAGGACAGCATTCTTTCCCCTGGTCACTCTGTGCCTGAGGCCTGGAGCAGCCCAGGCAGCGCCCACACAATGGGTGATGACAAGGCCTCGCTGAAGTGGAAGCCAGGCTCCTGAAGACAGCCACCGCTTACAGCCCTACTTCCTCAGGATGGATGGATGACTAACCAGCAGTCAGGTTTGTGCTGTGTGGGGTGTAATAGTATGGATGTGTCACCCAAGCAACTCCATGTCACCCCACACGATGGGGCTTGTAGGGGACATGGTAGAAAGGCTCCTGTGTGTGTTTAGGTGCCTCTGACAGACAGTTGCTCTCGCTAGAGTTGGGGTCTAACCCAGGTTTTTGCAATGCTAAACCCACTCTGTGCCTGTGAGCTACGTGCCACCTTATTTTTTTTTTTTTTTTTTTTTAGAGGAATGGAGAATTAAGAGGAAAAATGGAAATAAATGAGAGGCATTGCACATGACATGCTCACTTGACTGACGGGCACATTAAATCCCTCCTCTTGCTTTTGTTTGGTTATGCTGATTTGATGCATTCCAACAGTGTTTGGCAGCAGCCTCTACCACTTCTTCTTTGCAGTTCTCTACTGGGACATATTTAATAGACCTGGAGATGGGCCGCACAGTATGTAGAAAACACGATGAAGACATTGACAACTGCCCACTGCAACAAGACACAGGACGGAGGAAGGTGTGAGGATGAAATCACCCCAAGCGTTGGGTCTTCCAGGAATGAAAGTAACAAGGAGGAAGGCCTTGGAAGAAGCTCAGGGTGGGGGACTCCAGGTCCTGAGTGGTGAGGGTCTGACCCTACTTCCTATAGCTCTAGGGCTCGGTGCTAAACACAGAGTCCCCTCTACAGGCAGCCTAGTCCTGGCCTTCCTGATGCCCTTGAGTCCAGCAGACTCCAGTGTCCCTGTGGTCCCCCTCATGTTTGGGGCTGGGGACTGTTTAATGCCTTTGCTTTCCAGCTCTCCCTCCAGTTTGAGGTCCCCAGGGTATTTCCTGTTGAGTGAGGTTTTGATGGCGCCATCCTGTGACGGATACCTGGTCCATAGGATTTGTGAACTTCATTCTGTTTTATTTATTAATTTTTTTTTTTTCTGGGGCTTGACTCCAGGGCCTTTTCACTGAGCCACAGCCCTAGCTCTTTTATATTTTTAATTTAAAAAATTTTTGTTTTGAGACAGGGTCTTGCTAAGTTGTTCAGGCTAAGGTTGAATTTGCAGTTCGACTGCCTCAGTCTCTTTGGGTGCTGGGACTAGGTGTGCCCACCTGGTTGTGATCTGGGAGCCCAAGGATAGGTGTTCATCAGCGGCACCATCAGTGTCCAGGGGCAGCTTGGTGGGGTGGGGTGTGTTCTGCTCAGTGGAGGATGGCTCTATTAGGACCCTCAGGTGTCCAGCAGCATGAGTGTGGGGGAGGCTGGAGGGGACAGGATGACCCAAGGACCAGTGACAGCCTAACCTGGCAATAGTAGCCTCTATCCACCATCCTGGTAGAGCTCTGGTTAGTAATATTGGCTTTAGCTTTTCTTTTCTTTTTCCTTCTTCCTCTTTTAGATGTAATTCTGACTCCTCTGTGCTGCAGGATTGGAGTGTATCCCTGTTTTCTAACATCATGTTCCTGTCTTCCTCTCAGGTGCGCTGCACTTACATCGTGCAGACCATAGAGTGGTTTACCAAGTTCTCCATCCTGAACAGCACCTGTGCTTAGGCCTAGGTGGAGAGGGCCTGGCCCCGTAAACATCCTCATCTTTGGGAGTGTGACACCCTTTTGTCCTAGGTCTGAGTGAACAGGGCAATTAAAGGCCTCTCACAGCACTTTAAGATCTCCAAGCCTCTTGTGTCCTCCATGTTGCTATTTGCTATGGATGTCATTGTCAAGAGGATTTGTCATCATGATCAATCATCAGTAAATTCTGTGAAGCAGAGCATCCTTCACTTGCTCCTCATTTATTCTTCCATGGATGCATAATTTCATTCATTCACCCTTCATTTCTACATGCCCCTCACCCCAGCACTCAAAGGAAAGCAAAAGTTTGCCAGGGAGTAGCCACCTCTCCTCTCTATCATCTGAAGAACTTGTCTCCTGATGACAGCCCCCAGTAGGTGTCACTGAAAGAAGCTCTGCCCTTCTGAATATTGCAGGCTGCCTGACTAACAGAAAGTCCTCCAGGCAGGGATGAAAGCTTAGGAGTCACAGGTCCCCACTTCCACCCTATGGTTCCCACCTCCTTTCTGTCCAGGAATACTCAGAATGAAGGGCTGGTGGTCTTCCCTTCTCCATCCTGGGTCTCTGGGGACTTCAATTTGAGTGACCTCTGGCAGATGTCTGCCCTTCCCCAACTGACCCATCCATGCCTTTATCATAGTGCTGCCCGCATAAGGCTCTTGGGTAGATCACAAGGGTAACATGACAAGCCTTAGCCCTTTGATTGACCTCCATGCAGGACATGTGACATCTCCTCCCATCTGGCAAGGGCTTGCTTATCTCCCCAAGTTGTGTCTCTGTAGTTGAAAAAGCTAATTTGCTACTTGCACTTAGCCATGAGAACATTTAGGCCTGGGATTGGGAGATCTTGTTTCTGAGCCCCATACCCTTTCTCAAGATCCTGTTCTTCATGGGTCCCTGCCCATTTTCATGAGCCCCTTCTCATTGCTCATAGCCCTCATACCCATTTTGTGAACTCTGTGCTCATTTAAAATGGACTCCATGCCCATTGTCCATGGACCCAATGCCTATTTCCATGAAGCACATGTTCAGTACACATGTGTCCAAAGCCTATTAATGCATTTTCATGGACTATTGGCCCACTGTTCATGGTCCTCAGGAGTATTCATGTATCTGATGTCCATAGCTGGCTCCTGGCATAGTAAGGCCAGAGACCCTGGCCACCTCTTTCTGTGCTGAGCAGGAGGCTTTTACTGCTGCCTGTGGCCCTCTGTGGGGCAGACATTAGTGGATGCTGGCCCACCTCCCAGACAGGTCACAGGCACTCAGTTGCATCACAATGTGTGGCCTCCCTGCAGGACCTGGGCTCAGAGGGGGACAGGTAAAAAAGGAAGAGAGAGCTCCTGGCCAGAGCTGTGACATGAACTGAGCGTGCTGGGGAAGAGAAGCGCTGGCCAGAGACCCTGGCCACCTCTTTCTGTGCTGAGCAGGAGGCTTTTACTGCTGCCTGTGGCCCTCTGTGGGGCAGACATTAGTGGATGCTGGCCCACCTCCCAGGCAGGTCACAGGCACTCAGTTGCATCACAATGTGTGGCCTCCCTGCAGGACCTGGCCTCAGAGGGGGACAGGTAAAAAAGGAAGAGAGAGCTCCTGGCCAGAGCTGTGACATGAACTGAGCGTGCTGGGGAGCAGAGAAGCGCAGATCAGTGGCTGGAGCCCCCAGCTCACAAAAGGAAGAGGGCTACAGCAGGGCAGGTGGGAGAGGGATACGTGGCCCCTCTTTTACAGAGACTCCTTTTACAGGGCTGAGACACAGGTGACCACAGCAGCAGGCACAGGCTGAGGACCTCGCTGGATAGGGGCTGTTCTCTGGAGCACAGAGCCTCCAGGGACAGCAGGGGAGACAGATGAGGAGACTGCCTAGGATCCCCTTGGTGGGGGTGCTAGAACCAGGAGGGGCCCCTCCAGGGATAAGTCCAGCTGGGCTGTACAGACAGGGGCTGTCTGTTGAGAGCTTCGGGCTGTGAGAGCTGCCAGACTCCACATGGGGCCCCTCGGTCCAGCTCCAGCCCATGGTTGTGCAGCCTCGTTGCTGGCCCTGGCTACACGTAGTGGGGAGGAAGTGTCTTTTCTTCAATATTTTTTGCTACAACATTTAGAAAAGGCAAAATAAACCTAAAACCAATGGGGCATTTGACTTCGTTAAACTCACCCATCAGTGTCTGTTCCACAGGAGGGTTTGCAATTCTTAGTGAGTTCTTGCGGTGGGTGCTTGCCAGAAACCCTGCTTTAACTTTGCTCTCCATGAGGTCCGTCCTGGAAAACAGCCTTTTGTAAATATACATATGGCCAAAAAGCCAAGACATGATGAGGAGTGACTGGGACATGAGGAATTTTTCTCTCTGGGAAGAGAGGTCTTGCAAAAGTCGAGATGTGATCAATTTTCCCTTTGAGTTGAACATCTTATTGCAATGATGTACTTTACAATAATTAATAAGCCAGCAACCACTTATTTTCTAGAATTAGAGATGCTGTATGTGTAACTATAACAACGTCATAAGCAAATAATGATTTGATGAAGTTTTGAACTTTCTATAATACAGCTGCTAAGAAATTATTTTTTTTATTTTTTGGTACCAAGGATCGAACTCGGGTCTTTGCGCTTGCAAGGCAGGCGGTGGAATCACTGAGCTAAATCCCAGGCCCAGAAGAAATTATGTTGACCTTCTGAATTATTTTATCAAATAACTAAACAAGCCAAAGCCTAACAATTGAATAAGAAAGTTTACACAACTGCTTAATAACAATAAATGTCTGCCTTCACAGGCACATACATAGACATGTAGATAGGTTGGGACTCTGTTACTGGTAATGGCTACATATTAATCACCAAGTGTAAGGTCTGATACATGTGATTTCAATCAACTTGTGCAGGAGGTGGGGTTAGCGCTGTCCTGCACCATCCCCTATGCATCGTAACCCTAACCCTGGGCAACCCAAACTTGGGCACTGAGCACTGCAAAGGGTCATGAAAAATATCACTCAAAGTCACATTGCAGTATTAAAAGTTCATGATCTTGCAGGACCATATTATTGCATGTAACCATGGCTCTGGGTGGGATACATCTTCCCCAACCAAAATAAAGAAATAAATTTATGAAGGAGAGGATCTGGAGCTCATGTGTCTGGTAAAAGAATCATTCACAGAAGAATTTCCGTACCTCCTGCCTTGGGCAGAGGCCGCCATGACCTTACACAGGAAGTACTTCCACAGGGACGCCTGTAACCGCAGGGATCCCACCTCCTTGTTGATCACTGCACCCAAGATTTTGTTTCAAAATGCTTTCTGTGACCTCCTCATTTTGCCTTAAGAACAGACCCTGTCTCAGCCTCCTAGGGTACGTGTGTAGTTTACTATGGTCCTGAATAATGCTAATCCATATTTATTTGACGTTCTTTAAAATTTTAATCTTTATCGGTACATGTTTGCAGCGCATAATGATTACATTCCTTATGGGATTACACTCCTCATTCTTTTTCCTTTCCTTCCCCTTCTCTCTCTTCCCCCTCTGTCCATCTCTTGGTCTCCTTCCCGTTTGCAAAAGTTCTATCTCCCCGCTTCCTATTATCTCTCTTCTATTTTGTCCTTTGATTTATTTATACTTTGGGTTTCTCACATGAGAAAAGTCACGTGATATTTAAGCGTATATGTGTGATTTGTTTCACTTAGCATTATAGTCTCAAAGTGCATCCTTTTCCCTACAAATGACTCAGGCTGATCCTTCTTTGTAGCAGAGTGGCCGGAGCAGTCACCGCAGTCACAGTGCCATCCCCTGGACTCAGAGGCCATGACCAGACCCTGGGGGCTGTTCTTGCTCCTCCTCACCATCGCAGTGGCCCTGGTGACCAGTATAGACCCAGCCAAGAACAGAGTGAATATTTTGAGGCCGTTCAAGTCCGTCAAGTTCTCAGATGCAAACATGAGGCAGTGCCTGTGGTTTGCCATGCAGGAATACAACAAAGAGAGTGAGGACGAGTACATCTTCCTCGTGAGCCAGATCCAGCTGGCCCAGATGCAGGTAAAGGGTCCGACTCAGGCAGGGCTTTGCAGGTGGGGGCTGGAAAAGCAGGAAGTGAGGAGATGCTGGTATGTAAAATCCTGAAAGTGTGGGGCTTAAGAGCACACTCCCACACAGCAGCTGTGACAACAGCACACGTGACAACAGTGGGTGCAGCACGTGGGACTGGAAGTGTTTCAGATGACTCTGGAAAAATTATGCATACCTGATTCAATGTCTAGGCGATGGGACGCTTGTGTAAACACAAAATTCATACTTGTTTCACATGCATCTCACACTCATAGAATGAAGCAATTCTTTTAGTGCAGCTGTGCTGTGGCTGCAGCCTCCACTTGAGGTTGGCAGTGATGTCTTGCACTGGTGTTGTCCTGCTGCTGCCTGGACATTTCAAGGTTTGGAGCATTCGGGGTTTCAAAGGACTCTTTGCCAGCATTAGTGTCCTGCAGGCTGTTAGATTCTCCCTGCAGCATTTACAGGTTAGCTTTGTGGCCACTCCTGGTGTCCCCTCCAAGACAGGCCAGAACTGCCTTTCTAATTCCCTGGAGCTCAGTTAAAATCAATTTCAAATTTATGGAGGTTTGGAGGCTGCTGTAAGCAATGGAGTAACGAAGTTAGACCTCTCTCCTCTCCTGGGGTTCCCTTACATCAATGGACAATTCAGTTAACACTGATTTCTGACCCTAAACCTACAGCTACTCTACCCCAGACCGCTGAGCTAGAGGGCGGGTTAGGGATTTAAGGAGCGGGGCAAGGGGCCTAGGAGCTGGGCTGGCCCAGGGGAGCCCACTTCTCGCCTTGTCCCTTACTGGCATGAGGCTCGCCCACCCTGGACTTTGGACAGAGCGTGGGTTAGAAAGTCTCACCTTTGAGGAGGCCTACATTGGCGGAGAGGCTTTCCCCCAGTACCTGCTCAGGGTGACCACCCAGGACTCAGTGTAGGAAAGAGTCCCGGCTGTGGGCAGGCCCCTACAGATGTGTTAGGTGGAAGGTAATCAGAAGGGAGGACAGTCAAGGGGGTTTTTGTGTTTGTCAGATTTTATAAAATTAATGTACAACTTCTGAATGAAACTGTACCATTGCCGATTAACAGATCACAGACCATATGGAATACATAATTGAGGTCGAAATTGCCCGAAGTAATTGCAGAAAGCCTCTAAACAACAATGAGAACTGTATCATTCAAACAAACTCCAACCTGGAAAAGGTAGGCGACAAACCTGCCACATGTGACACAGCACTGGAAGCTCCGAGCAAGGCCTCCTGGTGACAGGGAAACTCGGGGCTCCCAGGCCCCCTCTTGGAGGACCATCTTTCTCCATGTGTTCAGCCCCAGATAGTCTGGCCTGTGGCTTTCTGGGAAATGGCCTTTCCTGCCCCTCCTCTGGGGACAAGATGTCCTCTAGGCCTCCCATCACAGGGGTCTGGACCTTGGAGGCAGGAAGAGTACTGGCATGTCTTCTGCAGATGTCTATCCTCTTGACCCAGATCAGCTGGCCAGCTGCTCAGGCCGTAATCACTCACTAATCTACTTGAGTGTCCTTACTGATACCAGGAGCTACTCACCTGCACTAGGTGTGTTCCAGGTACTGGAGACCAGCCAACACCCCACCCTCCTGCTCAGCCAGGACTTCCACAAAGGTCAGGGAGCACACAGGGACCAAAGGCATGATGTGGTTCAGGGGATTCAGACTCAATTCTTTTCTTCCCTCTCCTCCTTCTCCTCTTCTTTCTTTTTATGCTACTTTGGATTGAACCCAGAGCCTCCACTCTGAGATACAGCCCCAAACCTCCCCATTTCTTATTTTGAGACAGTCTTACTAAGCTACTGAGTTGCCCAGGCTGGGCTTGAATCTGTCTTTGCCTCCTAGAGTTCTGGGATTACAGGTATGCATTGGCATGCATGGCTAAGCCTGTACTTCTTGATCTTAGGGTTTGGGGGAAGCCTGGACTGATCCTGCCTCAAAGCCAGGTCTGAAGTTAGTGTAATGAGGCCCCAGCTGTTTTGTGTCTTTGCCCCCTTTCCCTGCATTATGGTTCCAACGTGACCAACATCAGAATCATCTGGAGGTCTACATGTGGGTGGCTATGTGCCCCCTTCAGAGTTTCTGCCCCAGTAGGTGGGGAATAGGGTAAGAGGATTCTAATTCCTAACAAATTTCATACACTGTTGGTACTAGCAGTGGGACAGTGTGTTGAGAGCAACTGCTTCACATAGGGACAGGAAATGGCACATAGGATTATAACATGCACATAAGTGACACTGGACTAAAACTGCTCAAAGTAAACCAGCCCCGCCATTTCCAGGTGTTCCTGAACACTTCTCAGGACAAAGGTGTCAGAATGAGCCTGTCCTGATGTTGTCTCACCTT